GTTGGGCGTTGAGATTGGTTCTCCCTCCACTGGTCGTGTTCGTAAGAGAGGGGAGTTGGATGAGGTCTTGCTTCCTCCCAATTCCAAGCTCCAGTGTGTGGACTCTGCTGCAAATTCTGTTTTGGCTGTCAATGATCATGGGGTGGAGGACACCGGCCCAAGTCGGTCCCAGTTGGATCCATGACTGTTCTCTTTTGGAATTGTCGGGGTTTTGGCAAGGCCCTGGCTCGTAAGGCGCTGCTTGCCGTTGTCAATTGTCGTTCTCCGATGATTGTGTGTCTTTGTGAAACAAAGTGTCGTGATAGGAAAGTTGTTTCGCGTCTTTGTCGTCTTGGTTTTCCGAATAATGTCCTCGTTAGTCCTGTTAATACTGCTGGGGGTTTTGTCGTTGCTTGGTCCTCGGAGATTTCATGCACGGTTATCTCGAAGTCTCAAGCTTTTATGTTCGTGGAATGTGACCATTCTGTCTATGGTCAGTTTATGTTGGTTTTTGTTCATCTGGATTGTAATGAGAGCACTCGTTTGGTGCAATTGAATGAAATAAAAGTTGCTCTCTCGTCGCTTGTTATTCCGTTTTTAGTACTAGGTGATTTCAATTGTCTTTTGTATTCTTCGGAAAAGCAAGGTGGTCGTGTTCCTTCACCGGCGGTTTTGGCCCCGCTACAATCCTTTGCGACTAACCTTTCTTTACAAGACCTTGGTTTTCAAGGACCTCCTTTTACGTGGTCTAACCGTCGATCGCCTTCTGAGCATATCATGGAGCGCTTGGATCGCGTCTTTGCCTCTCCCCTGGCATCTTCGCTTTGGCCGGGCTTGCAGGTTCTTCATCTCTCTTACCTTGGTTCCGATCACAGGATGATTTTGTTGTTATTTCATGCTTTTGCTGTCAAAACGAAGGCAAATTTTCATTTCGATTGTCGTTGGTTGTCCAATTCTGAGGCAGAGGAGATCGTGGTATCTCAATGGAGTTCTTGGTACGGTGGTACCTCGCAGTTCAAATTACATTCCACCTTGAAATGCACTAGGCATAGTCTTTTTCAATGGTCCTTGAAAGGAACTTCGAACTCGACTCGAGCTATCCGTGAACTCCAGGATGCTCTTCAGTCGGAACGAAATAAACCTATAGTTGATTGGACGATTATCTCGGGTTTTGAGCAACAATTATCTGAAGCTTTTTTGCAGGAAGAATTGTATTGGCATCAGAAATCTCGAGTTCATTATTTAACTGAAGGAGACTCCAATACTCGCTTCTTTCATCTTACAACTTTGCAGCGAAGGAGGAAGAATAGGATCCTACTTCTACGAGATGACGACGGGATGAGTCACTCTGATGACCCGGGCATGGGTGGTATTGCAGTTCATTATTTTGTTCATCCTTTTCAATCTGAAGCTGTTCCTTGCTTTGAATTTGTAGCCGGTATGTTACTTCCGGGATTGGTGTTGCCTTCGATGAATGCTGCTCTTATTGCACCAGTTTCCCGGGAGGACATTCGTTTGGCAACCTTCAGTGTTGGTAGACTCCAAGCCCCAGGTTCTGACGGATTTACAGGTATTTTTTTCCAGCATTATTGGCATCTAGTGGGAAATTCTGTTGTTGCAGCTGTGCAGGAATTTTTCCATACTGGGCATCTTCTTCCTAACTTCAATCACACGTGGATTTCGTTGCTCCCGAAGGTTCCTGGTGCGGAAACCATGCGTCAAATGCGGCCTATTTCTTTATGCCAGGTTGTTTACAAAATAATTTCTAAAGTTCTCACTTGTAGACTACGAGAGGTCCTTCCGTCTATCGTTGGTCCCTACCAGAATGGGTTTGTTAAAGGACGTCTTATCTCTGATAATATTTTGTTGGGTCAGGAGGTTTTACAATTTCTGAAGAACAAATCCATGGGTAGTGATAAGTGGATGGCTTTGAAATTAGACATGGAAAAGGCTTATGACCGTGTTGAGTGGAGTTTTCTATTTGCTATCATGTCTAAGCTTGGTTTCTATTCCTAGTGGCTTGATTGGTTGTGGGCGTGTGTTTCTTCAGTATCCTTCTCTGTGCTTATCAATGGCTCTCCTCATGGTTACTTTCATCCTGAGCGGGGATTGCGTCAAGGTGATCCGCTCTCTCCTTTGTTGTTTGCGCTTTACACGGAAGGATTTTCTAGTGTTATTAATCGAGCTATCCACTCTGATTTGTTGCATGGCCTGAAGGTGCACCGTCGGTGCCCTAGTATTTCCCACTTATTTTTTGCGGATGATTCATATTTGTTCCTCCGGGCTTCCCCTTTGGAATGTCATAATCTTCTTCATATTCTTAATTCTTACCAGCAGGTGAGTGGTCAGAAGGTCAATCTTCAGAAATCCACTGTTACTTTTAGTAATAATGTTTCTGCAGCTGAAGCCTCAACTATTATCTCTCTGCTTGGCGTGGCAATCAGTGGTCCCCATGATCGTTACCTGGGCCTTCCAATGCGCGTCCTGCGTTCCAAGCAGGATACGTTCCGGTTTGTTGAGGAAAGCCTGGTTAATCGGATTCAAGGATGGAAATCGAAGTATATGTCTTTAGCGGCAAAGGAGACAGTGATTAAATCAGTGGCTTTGGCCCAACTGATTTACACGATGTCATGTTTTCGAATCCCGTCTCTCTTTTGCATGCGCTTAAATGGGCATCTTGCTCGCTTTTGGTGGAGTCAACAGGATAGAGAGGGTGGCATGCGATGGACCTCTTGGCGTGCTTTATGTCGTCATAAATCTATTGGGGCTATGGGTTTTCGTGATCTAGACTCCAATAACATTGCTTTGCTTGCCAAACAAGCTTGGAGGATTGTCCAGAATCCTGATAGCCTCTTGGCTACTACATACAAAGGCAGGTATTTTCCTAACACCTCTTTTCTTTCTGCTACTGCTGGTACGCGCCTTCATGGGCATGGCAGGGTGTTCTTTTGGGCAGGGATCTTTTGGTCCAAGGACTCCGTTGGTTAATTGGTTGTGGGATGTCGGTTCACATTACGAATGATGTTTGGCTACCCACCACTCCTCCTTCTAGGCCGATTTTGCTTCCTGGGGTTGTCTTACCTGACTCTTTTGTTTCTTGCCTTATTAATCATGGTCAAGGTACCTGGAAGGAGAATGTGCTTTCAACCCTCTTTGACTCTGCCACTGTCCAGTTAATCTTGTCTATTCCTCTGCCAATTTTTCCTGTGGCTGACCGTTTGATTTGGCATTTTGAAGCCTCAGGCGAATATTCTGTGAAATCTGGGTATCGTTTAGCTGCGGCTGAGTACATTGCAGATCTTTCCACAATTCCATGGTCCTTTGATTCTCGCTCCTGGAAGTTTCTATGGTCTCTCCCTGTTCCCCCAAAGCTTAAATTTTTTCTTTGGCGCGTGGTTAAAGGCTTCCTCCCGGTTCGAGATGTGCTTCGTGATAAAGAACTGATTGCTGATGAAGATACTGAGGCTTACGCCTGCCCGGTCTGTGGTGGTGCGGCTGAGACTCTTGCTCATTGTTTTTTGGATTGTCGGATTGCTTTGGAGTTGTGGGAATTGTTGGGGTACAACCATATTCTTGCCCAAATTCGCATGTGTCATGTTGCAATTGGTTGGCGTAGGATTTTTTTTTATGCAGGTTTATCTAAGGTTGAGATTTCGCGGCTGGTTTTCCTGTACTGGAGGCTCTGGAAGTCCAGGTGTTTGGCTACTTACGATGGTATTCAGTATTTCTCCCATGTTTTATCTCGTCATTATTACTCTCAGGTTGCTGAATGGGAGCTAGCACAGGCGCATCCGGTGAGATCCTTGCCTCGCGGTCCATCTGCTTCCAGTGGGGTTTTACCTCGTGATCAGCCCCCTCCTTCGATACCTCCCGGTGCAGTTTTGGTACACTTTGATGGTGCCACCAAATCTTTGGTCGGTTGTACCATTGGTTTTGTTGGCTTTGATGAGGCGAATCACTCCATTTTCTCTTGGGGGCGCTTTATTCCTAATATTGATGACCCATTTCTCGCAGAGCTCCTGGCCCTTCGCGACTCTTTACGTTGGTGCGTGGCTCACTCTTTCACTAATGTTTTGTTTTGTGGGGATGCGCAGGTGATCGTTCGGCTGATTAATGCGAAGGACTCGGCGCACGCGGTGGGTGGAGCTCTCCTGCAAGAGATTCAGGTGTTGCGGGCTTCGTTCCTTCGTGCTTCGTTCCATCTCGCTCCCCGTAGGTTTAATAGGGCTGCCCATCTCGTGGCAAGACAAGCCCTTGGAGCGATGGTGCAGACACTTGTCGACCATCGTGTTTTATTTATTTAATTTCCTAGCCTGGTCTTAGGAGGCCTTGTATATTGTCGTATCTTCGCTGCATCCCTTTCGGGATAACTTTGGCAAAAAAAAAAAGATGTTTGAAAGGTATTAAGTTTTCTCTCTCGGTCCTTGAGAACTTTTCTCTGTTCCTCTGACTGCCTGGCAGTGACGATGTTTCAGCTTCCACTTCTCTTTCTGAGGCGGCCTCTCTTCCCTGATCCCTTTCTTCTCTCAAGATTTTGATCAAAGCTGTCTTCTGAATCCCATGTTTATGTTGGTTCCTGTGGTTGGTTTTTTGTTGTAGTGCCTAGAGCTCATCCTTGTGTGTTTATATGCACTAAAAATTTTAAACCATACAATCCAAAAGCCAACAACATCTTTCAATTTTTCAGAGATGTAACATTTCACGAAACGATTTTGTCGTTATGTGAACATAGTATAGAGATCGACTTCACAAATGAACCTCGACATACGGTATATTAAAACCCACCTTCGATTTTATTAAATAATTATTTATCGTCATTGTCTTGACCGATCATCAAAATAGACACATTACAATATGAATGTTCACACAACAACATATATTTTTTTAATTAAGATAAGCCTTCAAGGCGTGACTGGAAAAGAACGATAATCCGTATGCAATCAGACCTCCGATAATTAAAAGAGCATGTTTTGCCACGAAATAAACAACAAACATATAGAATTTGACGAGAATAGAAACGATTATGGATAGGCTTCGATGATGGATCTTGGGCCAATTGCGCGCACGATTTTGTAGCCACTGAAGCCAGCAGCCATGAGCAGATTGTTGAGTTCGGTTTCTGTACGCTCTTTGCCATTTAATAAGCACATCATCAGCAAGTCGGAGCAGAGTTGCACTTGTGAGAAGTCTCCGCCTTTGGGTTGATTATTCCCAACGACCATGTCTATCAAGATCACCTTTCCTGATTTCGCGTTGCTGCCATGCGACGGCAGTACCGCCTCCCTGCATTTTTTCAAGATCTTCACGCAGTTGTCGTCGTCCCAATTGTGAAGAACCCACTGTAGATTTACGTCGATATGATATGAGATTATTTGTCTTTAATTAATTAATTATCACCGAATTATTTATGTTGTAGTAATCAGTACGTAAGTGGTTGAATTTAGAGATTACGAGTTGATGGAATTTACGTACCTTGAGGAGAAGCGCGTCTCCGTGAGGAATGTTTTCTTGGAACATATTGCCTCCGAGAAATTGCAAGTTGGGAAGACCAATAATGGCCTCCTGATCCTGAGAGTCGGGAACAACCTGCGGCAGTTCAAACACGGTGCAGTTGATGTCAGGGTAGGCCCTGGCAATCGCGGCGGCCATGGTCCCGGTGCCGCCGCCGACATCGACCAGCGACCCCACTCCTCGGAAGAGCTCTTTGCAGCAGTCGGACACCAGCACTCTGGCCACCAGCTTGGAGTCACCGGACATGGCGCCGTAGAATGTCTGCATCAAGCTCGGCTCCCTCGCCATTGCATCCCAGAAGGACATGCCCAGGACAGCCTCCACCGGGGCCGCCCCGTCGCTGCGCCGGAACCATGCGCTCAAAGACCTCCAGATGCCGAGCTCGTCGTCGCCGTGGTCGGTCCCGAGGAACAGATGGACCGGCGGTGCCTTCAATACTTCCGCCTCCGCCCGGTCGTCGGGGAGGAGGAGGAGCTCGGAGGCAGGGGTGAGAGAGTAGTAGTAGTGATCCTCGGCCTCTTGGAGTTTGAAGAAGGCGGCGTGGACGAGGAGTCGCATGAGGCGGCGGAGGGCGTCGTGCTTGGATGGCGGGAGGTGGAGGGCGGAGGCGAGGGCCGGAAGGGAGGTGGGCCCCGGGGAGTGACGGTGGATGACGTCGGGTATTCCCAGCTGGATCGCACATTTCAAGCACTTGTTGATGATGAAGCTGTAGGAGTAGCTCCAAATGCGGCCCTGAGCTTCGATCAGCTCGATATCACTACTGCTCATCATGTTTCGTTTGTGGACTGTGGTGCCTGCTCCGCTCTCTCTGAGTGGCCTATTATCATCATTTTATTTATACCCGAGGCCGAGGTACGTACGCAGCTGGACATGTCTATTCAAATTAATCACAACCCTCCTCCCACTGTCCCACATGTACTCACCAACTAATTAATACAGATTAATTCATTTAACACCAACTCCCACGTGCGGCACACTGGAATTAAATTAGGTGATTGGTAGTCAAATTTATTGTTCATGGATGTCCACACGTATTGCTAGTCAAACTTAGTGTCCCATCCCTACTTAGACGATTAATCAATTCAGAAAACAACAAAGGTTATTCTTGTTACTTAGTGGATCACGAGCCCATGATGTTATGTTATCCCTGCTGTATGTGGGTTCTAGGGCCACTATTGGGCCCATTGTTTTCCCTCAGCCCACGGTGCATTACGATTTACGAGTCAAGGCTAGGGGACTTTTGTTTGCTAGTAGGGACATTGGTCGACCCGGTGGGTATGTACAACCCATTTTTTTCAACGGGTAAAGATCAAAATGAGTCAATTTACGGGTCGACCCGCGGGATTATTAGATACCCAGCTAAAAGGCCCAAGGCCTTAATGATACTGTTATTGGCCAAGGTCAAACTAGTTTCGTAGCCATGCAATATAATCATACGGTAAGTTTGGACCCTTAGCAACATGAGCCAATTAACTACTAACTAAAAACCAGTCTTTCTACTTTACTAGAAATAGCCCGCTCGCTACGCTTCGCGTGTAGACAGAAACATAATAATAAGATACACGAAACATAATATTAGAATAAATTGAACAATGGTAAACCATCTGGTCTGCAGGAAGGTGTGAAGATGGATTGTGAAAGAAAAAAAAGTATATATATATATATAGCTCCAATATTTGGATGTAATGGTTGGAAAGAGTAATTCCTTAGGAGTTAGGCATGAAAAGGTTAATTGAATGCAACAGACCGGAACCGTTAACAGGAAAACTAAACTGCTATTAGAAGTACATCGTGCAACAAAGGTAAACTGAACATGTAGTAAATGATTCGGCAAGGCAAAACTCCATTCACATCAGCTGTTCTTGCCGCGCAATATCTTCTTACAGGTCATTACACGCCATAAATTCTAATGAAAGCTATCAATTTGCTTGCTTCGGGCTTTGACAACTGCAGCTAGTAGTATCTGGTAAATATGGTACCCTTGCGGTCAGATGTTGTGGACTCTGGATTGAATCTTCACCCACCTGTGGTTGAAGCTTCACTAAGTTGCAAGGAAGTTCAAGACCTTAGTTACATCAAATACAGTATGCGATTAACATGTACAAACAAATATATGGAGACAACACCAGGGCATGACAATGATTTTGATCTCGTAATATTGGTGGACAAAGATTCAAAGAGGTTGAATCTATAATTAATTAATGAGTTTGTAACAAAGGTCAGTAAGCCATTCACATGTACGAACAACGATACTTCAACAATTTTGCTGCAGCTCTTCATTAAAAGACAAACAACAGTCATGCTAGCAAAGTCATGAAATTTTAGATGAGGAATTGTAGAAGCAGATCTAAGTTGACATTTAACCGTTTTAGCCATTTGAGCAAACTCTACAAATAAAAGTCGTTTCTATCTTGTTATCTACCTATCAAAGCAGCAAAATGAAGCCCAACAGACAATGCACCACTCGAGATGGAGAAGAGTAAGAGGAAGAGTTTGCCACCTATTATTTTGGTTTCTTCAGAGCCGTAAATGAGTTGAATGATCAACTGTACATGAACCGATCGATCCTACCATGCTCTGCCTTTTTCCCAACAGTGAATCATCCATCTACATAGCTGTAGCCACATTGAAACTTCATATGCGTTCCTTCCAACCAATCTCGCACAACAAAGTCCCCTTACTTTGAAACTGAAACCAACGACGAAGCATTAGCACCGAACCCTACTGAAAGCCCTAATTCATTAATTCAGAAATGTGCGCAAACCTAAAATATTAATAGCAACATATTGCTGATGTCCTTTAGACTTGAGTGAGGCAAAGTGTCTTTTTTAGTTGTTAATCAAGGCCAATGACATCACGTGTCTAAAAGACTCAACACAGCTACACTATTAATGTTAAAGGAACTCAGTATACAGTGCAAAACACAAGCGGGGCACTTGGTTCTATCAATCTAATATGTTAATCATGCCCACCATTATGTTGCCAAACAACCCTGAATCAAAAAGCAAACATGCTTACAGTGTCCATTTGAGTAGCAAAGTATCATTAACTTTGTGGTGATAAAATGATGCTTAGTTATTTGAAATACAAAATAAGAGTGGGCATATGATGCACCTGCCATCCTATCATCAAAATTTGTCATATCCAGGTGAGAAACAAAGCACATCAAGTATACGTTCAAGGGTGGTGAAAAACTACAATGGGCATAATAAGAGAGCAAGTTTATATAAGGACAAACTAAGAAACCATGTCATATCTTGTATGATCATTAAACTGTGGACTTCCCAGGAGTCACATGCTTTACATGTTTAAGAATTAAGGACTAACATGCTTATATAAGCATAAATCTGGTCTCAGCTAAGCACACTTCAATATCTAGCTCCAAAGAACCGGTATGAATTGTGCAGAGAACCCAAGAGGAGCAAGAAGGACAAACCACTGACCTTTACATTTTAGTATGGAAAAGCATCCCAACTTGTGAAGTTACCTCCCTGTCCTCGTCAGTACAGTTACTCTGCAAGAAAGGATAAAACAATAACAGTGCCGTGAAAGGAATGAGCTTGAAAGGAAAATAACAACCATCTTTAAGTCTTTGCAAAAGGAAGTTCAAATACACCTATGGGCTTTTATGATTTTGAAACAAAAGCGATGATATCAATTGGTAAATCAAAATCATGTGATGGAGTTATTATTCTTTTCTATGTTGCTTAAATAAATTCTGTATAAAGCTCAAACACAAACAAAACCGCTTCAATAGATGGTCCCTTAAGCAGGATTCTTTGATGGGTTGCAGGGGTGGAATCTTCTCTCATAACAGGGTTCTTTGCTGGGATCACAACAATGTTCTCACCGACGATTATGTAGCTGTTAAAAAAGAAAGGGAAAAAATTTAGATTGTAGTATTTAACATGGGAAGCAAACTGAAGATGGAAAGAAATAAACAAAATAACATAACTGAACTCACTGCATACCATGAAAGACGGTGATCAAGGCCAAACTCATCTTAAAACTGCTACTCCCCATTTAGCATTGCACCTTTCTCCCCTTCTCACTCGTCCCACACCAGCACAACTTAAATAAAACCTCATAGCCTGTTCTGAAAGTCCTTGGGACCACTTCAGAGTCAGGATTATGCTCTAATAGTTTAAGTGAGAAGATTTTGTCTCCTACTCCCATACCAAAGAATATTAATCAATATACTGCACCATAATTAATAATACAAATAGCATCCTCCTTTAATTAAATTACAGGGTGTCAACCCTTCAGTACTCAAGCATCTTCTTCAGCTCCCTTCCTTCATCTGCGAAACACCCAATCAGTATATAACGTCAAGGCTAAACTCACGCTCAAATGATCATGCAAAATAAAGAGGTCTAAGACAACATAAAGAATACTGCAACCACCCAAATCACTCCACCACAAATGGAACCTAAAAGCAATTCATACACCTTCTCAATCATATTTGGCGAAACTAAAATCAAAGCATGAAAGTTTATAACCTTATGAAAAGCGTAACAAAAGCTGTACGTGGTAAAGAAGAAAAGAGGATCACTTTCAGTGTACACACATTTAGTCTGAAAGGCGAAACTCATAAAATTCCACATTCCTAGCTACTTGGAACCATTTGCAGCAAGCTATCATGACATTAATGGAGAAGTCCCTTGTAAATTCATCAAGTATCGCATAACAGGAGAATCAATTGAAAAGAAATAACACTTTCAGTTGAGATCATCACCATTTATGGCTCTAGACACATGATCAGTTGCTCAACTCCTTGTTGCCATTACTGAGATTGGATGTGCTTAGGGACAACTCCGTTTTTCTCACCAATCATTCCAAATCAAAAGCAAGAAAGTGGGAGCTTTTATAGGAAGTACGCAACACGTAATTGAAGAAAAAAATAGATGTTTTAAGTTACAGCAGGAAGAAACACTTGTTGTTTGCAATAGATGCAAAGAGATTGGATCATAATAAATGTAAAGAAGAACATGCTTTGACAACCGGTAATCTGCAAGCAAAGGCAACCAATCAAGTGTTTTGTCAATTTTTCCCTTGGCAAAGTTCCTATAAAAAATACTTATTGGCAAACAAATCTAAAATCCCTTAGTTTTTAACAGCAAACCTACCAACAAATCCCTAGAGTATGCGATGGGTAATACTTACTTGAGCTTGAAAGTAAGTCAAGGTTGAGGCCTCTTCTGGATTTCCCCCCAGCTCTCGCCTCCGCCTCTTCTGCATTTTCCCCGCCACTCACATATCAAAGGAAAACAGAGCAAGCAATTAAAGATTCGAAGAACTTAACTTAATGAAAAGAAGAGTGATTAAAGAACCTGTATCCGGACGGCGACGATCTCTTCCTTATCGCTTTTCCATTCCATGAAGAAATGGTCCGGTCCTCGCCACCAAACACCTAGCGAAAACAAATTCCAGGCACGGTAAAAACGGTGGCTCATCTCTCATCAATTCCATGGAGAAACGATCCGCTTCATCCCTCGTCGCCGAACACCTAGCCAAAACCAATTCCACCGGCAATTAAAAAATGGCAATAAAGATTTGGATCTCGTAACTGTCCCTCCGCCGAAATTGATTCTTAACCGAGGAACCCAACTGAACCACATGTACCTTTACCTGTCTCTTCTCTCTGGCCCCTCTGTGATGTATCGGTCTTCTCTATCATCCCCGCTGATCGGCCGAATCCCTCCGACCGATCTCCCCTTTCTCATCGTCGCGTAGCCCATCGCGGCCAAAACAGAATGACAACCGATGCC